GAAGGCCCAGTTTCTGTCATAAAAAGCCCTTTAAAAGCATGATTAACTGTTGTTATATTTCATATCATTCTTCATTTCCATTATACATGGTGACTATTTTCATACAATTTATTTAAATGTCCTTTATTTTATTTAAATGCTTTAACTCAGAATTCAAAGTAGCTTTATTATAACTCATTCTGCAAAACCAAGGAGACACTACTCTACAAGGCACTTATAATACACGCTCAAGTAAAACAGTCCCAAACTGGAACGCTGGCTTTACATTCTTTAAAAGTAAACGTGTATGGGAACCTAAGCTGGTATCATGTTTTCCCTTAGTAAATGTCTTTGTAACTAGTAAAGATGTTTAGAATTACTGTATTAACCACTGAGCTCACTGGAATGACCATAGCAAGGGCCCTACAAATGTTTGGTTTTATTGACAATGGTCTGTTCTATAGGGAAAAAAAAAATATTTAAAATAATCAGGATTTCAGTATCATCTTTCACATCCTCTTACAGTCTATTCCCCATTTGCTGCTTAAGACTACAGAAAAGTAATTAGGCGGTGCTGTGCTTGACACATGGACAGTACTGTATTACAGACCCTTCTGACCATAATAGAAAAACATAAAATGATTACTAAGTCATTGGTTTAATGCCAGACTCACAAAACTTCTATGAGTAACGTAAGAAAATATCTTGAATTATATGTGTGCAGTATCTTTTACTTTGGGCATTGACAGACCGGCAAAGAAAGGAACAAGGTGATCTAGAACTGAGATGGAAGTAAGTAGGCCACAAGAAAGTGACATGGGGAAGTGGTACATGGTATTAAATACCCAGATTCACTGGAGAAATATGATAACCTAAGTTTTATTCAAGTAGCAATATATTTAAAGAATACCAGAAGGCAAGAAAATAGGGAATATCAAGTTTTCCTCACCATTGTTTCAGAAGCAGAAAAGCTATGAGAACTAGAAATGGAAAAGATGAGTATTGAATATCATACCTAGCTCTTCTACTACAAAGACTATGCCCTCACCGCTCAGAGCTTTCCCTTATGTTTCTGATCTGTAAATTAAAGGTAATACCACTGAGCCGACCTCAAAAAAATTTTAAGAGGCTCGAAGTAAAATAATGAATGTGAAAGTGCTTTGTATCCTGTAATGTACTGTGCACCTCAAAGGTGGTCATTATAAAAACAAGTTGCTGTGAATTTGTGAGCACGTTAAAATGTACAGATTGAACTGAGCCCAAAGAATTAAATCTCATTTGTGAATCACCTTTCCTATTACTGCTAAATTTTGTTTTCTTCTAGCTTTCTAGTATGAACTCAATTGCATATTTTGGGAACTGGTTTCTAAAACACAGGCTCTTTTTCACAGAAAGCTTTTCAAACCAAATAAAACCACACAAATATTACAACACTTACCTTGCATACAGTTTCTAGTCCATACGAATTTTCACCTCGACTGGAAGCGCCACCGATTTTTTCTACTCTACTTATCACGCCAAGAGATGCATCTAAAACAAATGGGGGGTCCTAAAGGGAGGAAAGAAGAAACAAACTGAGCAACTAGTATGGTAAAACTGTGGCTGATAAAAATCTTGGTCAGAAACCCTTTAATTAGAAATGACTACAATGCTGGTTGGTGGAACAGCAGTAACACGTGACTGCAAGGCAGACCCACATGGGAAGGCTGCTGGTTCATGTCCAGACCTCTGAATACACCCAGCGCCCGTGATCCATAATGGCTATAACTAGGGGTGGATGATGGTGTTAAGACCCTTTCAGGGGATGGGGAGGCAGCAGGTGGTATGGTGATTAAGACGCTGCACTCTCACATGGCAAACCACAGTTCAAGTCCCAGATCTGGCAGTTTGAAAATCACACTTGGTATGTATATGTATGTGACCAAAATGCTGAAAGGAGAATGGAAAAGAAGGGGCTGTGGCGTGGCCATCACTCCTGGGGGATGATTTCTCACTTTCCCTCTCACTGTCTCTGTCTGTTTCTCTCTCTGGCAAAAACTTTGGAGAAAAAAAAAGACCTTTTCTGGAGTAATATATGTGCCTATTTTTCTCTCTTACTCATGGAATAAACATAAACTTTTTTTAAAAAAGAGCAAGACAGGTTGCCAACAACATACATATGTCCATAATAAATTAAAGAAACTAAACAAAACAAAAAAAAAACTGAATCCACATCTTACCCGTTCCATACTCTTGAAGTATAACCTGTAGTTTGTGACAGTCAGAGTTCCTCGTACAGCACCAGTGAATGGACATATGTAAGTTACATCTTTGGCTGAAAAAGCAAAAAGTCCAGTTTATTAAATATTGTGTGCTACTAAAAACTACTTTCTATGTTACAAAATTATTTGACTGAAAGTCTAATTTGTTTCAAAAATCACAAAATCAATTATTCCACTCAAGACCTCCTGCACTAATCTGAAGAAGGAATATAGAATAAACAGGAAGGCTTGAGTGGCATCCCTTTCTCTGAGACAGAACAGAAACCAAGCTGGCTACCACCTGCACTGAATAAAACAGGTGTGGTAGTTGGAATAGTGATGAAGGAGTCCTGATAACGCTGGGGACAGTAAATGTGTCAAGGCATAGTCGCTGTTCATCTCATCGCTTTCTAGCTTGCCTCATCAATCTGGTCTTCCTCTGGTCACAGTTTAGTCTGTCAGTATTCCTCTACAAATAAAATACACAAAACATCTACAATACCACAAACTATGTTCTAGATTTCTAGGGCAAGTATCACAGGCAAAATGAAACATATATGAAGTATAATTTCCTCCACAGATGGGGCCAGAGAATGGCACAGCCATAAATGGCGACACTGTGTGTCTCTGAGTCACATGGGGAAGTTTGGGTTTGTACTAAGGCCTGCTGGAGCACACAAGGCACATGCATGCCCAGGGTCCAAAGCTGGGTGAAGCTGGGAATGGACCACAGTGCTGAAACTCTTGTGGGGTGCTGTCTGTCTCTCTTGTTAATGGAAGAAATAAATAAAATAAACTTTAAGAGAAAAAGAAAAATAATAATAAGAGGCTATTACATTCTTGACCAAGCAACTTATGTCTAACTTTGTAGAGAAATAATCACAAGCAGTATTATACTAAGACATAAATGATATATCTATGTGGCTATGATTTAAAAAAAAATAAAATTAATTGATTAATAAACAGGATAATTCAGCACTCATTAGCAAAGACCCTGTTTAATATAGTGGAATTCATAATGCCCAATACAAGATTTTTACTTCTTAAAATATTCATAAATCCCTACTATGTCATTACGGCAGCAAGTAAGCAGATAAAGGAATAAATATCTATCATTCCAAGGAAGTAAGGTGCAATTCTGTAGAGCAACAACTTTCTAAGAACCTTTCAAAGGACATTTGGGAAAACTTAGGGCTATGAAATATGTTTAATAAGGCATTACAATTTCCTGACTTTGCTTCTTACTCCTCACTCTGAAGGACTGCCTGCTTTGTATGCAATCTGAAATGAGACTGATCCTTTAACAATCATTTCTATCCTTTAAAATAGTCCCATGAGGTCTGCTCAAGTATGAGCTACTTTTTTTTCCCCTATCATTGTTTCCAAAGGATGCTTCGTTTGGAGGAAAATTTAAAATTAAACTCACATTATATGAACATATACAAACTTGCCTTGCACACATTTTTTTGTCCTTATAAATGTTTATTTCAACTAGGAAAGCCTTATTCAATGTTATTAAAAAAACATTTCTGGATTCATTCCAGAGCCTGTTTTCCTCAGGCAAGCAAAATTGGTCTTATTATATATCTGTCCACTGGATGTGTCCCTCTTGGACTAATGCTTTTAAATATTTTTATACCTTCCTCTTTATTCTAAAACCATAAGATAATATGCATGAAAGTGCTCTAAAATTGAAAGTACTATATACATACACCAGTTTGTACCCATGTTACTATTACCCTTACAAGCCTCTCCTTTGCTCTGCCACCTCTATTGTTCTTCCTCAGGATAACTCATTCTGAGAAGTTAGCTCACAGGTCAAAAGGAGACTGAGAGTGACCAGGACCCTTACCAGAGCAAATGACATTAATAACCATCAGCAGTGGTGGCCTGCTTGCCATTTTAGCTTTATAAAGTGCTTTTCATCTGAGTACCTCATTTAACCTTCCTAACCACACTTAAATGTAGGACTATAATTATCTACAATTTTCAGATGAGAACTAAGGACTACGAAAAGAGAAATGAACTGTTGAATGTTTCAGACCTGGTAGTAACTACTATGATTAAAGTTAAATCCAGTTCCTCTGACTAAATACTCATATCCCTTTCTTCCTCCTGCTTCCTGTGTTAAAGGTTGAATTACTACAGTCTGAAGGTACCTCTACTCCTGATGTGGCCAGGCCACAATACTCTGAGTCTGTTACTTTCCTAAGAATTCTGTTGAGGGGCCAGCAGGTGGTATGGTTAAGGATCTGGACTCCCCACACAGCCGACTGTGATTCGAATCCTAGACCAGATGGCTTGAAAATCACTCCAGGAGTGTGTGCATGCATTTGGAAAATGGAAGACAAGGGATTGAGGGCAAGTCCATCCCCCCATGTGGGGGGGTGATTTCTCAGTTTAACCCTGTCTCATGCATATGCCCTATAGCAAAAAGCTTAAAAAAAGAAAAAAGGGAGAAAGAAAGAAATTCTATTGATGTTTCTAACACTGCTAAAGTTCTTTTAAAATACATGTATACCATATATATGTATTAGGCCAACTAAAACCCCAAGGTTTTATTCACAAGAGTTAACATTACACAAGTGTACCCTAACCTTAAGACTTTTTCTCTACTGAATTCACTTTTTGCACAATAATAAAATCTGTGAGATGATTGTAAATTAGGATATTTTAAAAATTATGCTTCATATTCCTCTAAATATTGTATTAACTCTATTACCAAAAAGATCTTAGATTGACCAATCTTCTCAACTGTTCACTGAGGTCACAGGGGAAGAATCCCTAATAGGCTCTGTGACGTATATCCAGACGATCTCACGAATACACAACTATAAGGTGGCTAACAAACTTATACAAATAAGTATAATAAATGCATTCACAGAGACACCCACAAACACTCTAAGTAACACAGAAAAGGCAATTATTTCAGCTATGGCATCACAGAAGTAACTCTTCACTCCCTAGACTCTCCAGGTTAGTTTCCTTTTCCCATTTTCAATGAATATGCATGTGCTGATGATTTTCAAATATGGACCTTGAGCCTAGATCTCTGTTTTAATCTCTCATATCTGTTTATTATGTATTAGGTTGTCGGCAAAGTTGGGACATATTTTTCAATGTTTTGCTGTGCAAAAATGCATCATGACTTTCCCGATGACCCAATATTTCCACTTGAAGTTTCTCATCGGTACCTAGAATTCAATATATATAAATGTCAGACCAACGGCTTATGAACATGAAGAGACATGATAGAGGTTTACACTGGAAATACAAATGTTGGAGTCAAGTCAACATATGATAAGTGAATAAACTGAAAAAAAGGGTATATAGGAGATAAAAGAAAAATGGGTCAAGAGAACATTGAGTTTAAAGAAAAAGAACTGAGTAGTAACCTAAAAAAGTCTCTCATAAGACCAAATATTAGTGGAACCAGAACTGGCAATAGGTTCAGAGTAAAAGAAATTGTCACAATGTTAGATGTGATTTTATTCATCAGATGCTCTCCCCTCTGCCTTAGATAGCCTCGTCTACAAAATGGGTTTAATATTGTTCTCAGAAAATGACTCAGCAAGACTCAATGATGATAACTTGTCATGTATTTTTGTCACTGATAATATACATCTAGTTCAGTAAACAGTTTAGCAGATGAACATACTACCCGAAGCTGAGTGGGGGGAAAAAAAAAAGGACTGGAGAGGTTAATAATCAAAAATCAAAGTAGTGCCTGCAGAGAAACTGGAACCCATATGGCAACCAGTTCAAATCCCCAACCCAGTGGGCTGGAGGACTTGAGGAAGGGATCACAGCATGACCAGACCTCATGGAAGGTGATCATCTCTCTCTCGTTCACTCTCCCCTTACCTTTCACATGTGTGTGCATGCACTCTAGACTGAGAAAAAAATTATATTAAGAAAAGAGAATCAGGACTAGCAGATGGCATAATGGTTATGTCGCTGGAGTCCCTCATAGTAGACTGCGGTTCAAGTTCCAAACCTGGCAGCTTAAAATTCATGCTGGGCATGTGTGTGTGTATCCCCAAAAGCCTGAGAGAAGAATGGAGGAGTAGGGGTTGCAGCATGGCCATTCCCCCCCCCCCGTACGCCAGGGAAGGGGGCATGATATGATTTCCAGCTTTCTCTCTGTCTCTCTGGTGAGTGTACACGCCCTATAGCAAAAATCTCTCTAAAGAAAAAAAGAGAGAGAGAGAGTCAAAACAAGAAGAGACAAATATCATGCTAAGTGCTCAAAAGCTAAGTTTTATAGGTATTGATGTAGAAGGTAGTTGTCCTTTTTGGCTTGCTTCTTATAAGAAGAAAAACGACATCCAAACAAGGAAAATAAAGTACTTATTCAATCTTATTTTTTTTTCACAATTGTGATTGATAATAAGATTAAAAATGGTATTATGTTTGGTTAAGAAACCATTAATTATTTCTCCTGACATATCCTTCACTTCTCCAAATCTATGCATATTTTATAGACTATAACACAGATGGAACAAAGCAAGAGGACAAAAACACAGTTTACATGTTCATTTTTAGTTTCCAGCCCAAAATATAGGTATATGGTTAGACAGAGAGAAGCATCTACTTGCTTTGTAATGCAGATAAAATATTTTCATCCAGAAACTGACATGAGTTTACTCAAAGGAGAAAAAAATGAAGAGGAAAACAAGGGATGTGTTTTAAGATAAATTACTTGTATAAAGGGACAATTCAAGTTTCTTTTTTATCTAGGTAGCTCAATATCTGAAAGTAATAAATTTTTTAAAATGAAATTTTCCATTAATGAATTCAACAACAGTTAAAAAAAAGAAAAAAAGAAAAGAAAAAAGCCACCTACTTTAGAAAAAAAGTAAAACAAACCAGAGAAGTAGTAGAAAATAATTCAATCTGCATGCTTCACAGTTTTCAAACATGAACACTATAGACAAGTACATCCAGGCCTAGGCTTGCAAAACACACTGCAATGTCCGGAGGCTGCAGGGAGTGAATGCTGCCAGACAGGAGGTGTCTCTGAGGCCAGTCTATTCTCGGTATACTGACAGTACTGAACATTTCATGCAATTAGAAAGGAGAAGGAAATTAAACAAAAAATACCAGTACAGACCCATGTCTTTAATATTTTCTCCTGGAAGCAAGGGTGGTTCTTCCATTTCTGCTAATTTCTTAGACTCCCTCAGGACCTTTTTATTCAAAGGCTAATTTTTCACTCAAATTTCAACAGAATATTCTTGTGTTATTTAAAATTATAACATCATATTGCATTCACTATCTTGAATCAAATTATAAAAACTGTAGTGGTGGCATGTATAACATGTGAGGTTGCTGTTTTTATAGAGTGTATACTAATTCACATCAAAACTCTTTCCATTGATACAGACAACATTGTACACCGAATCCTACAACAGTCTGACAATAAAATAGGGGTTATACCCACACTTTGCAGTTGAGGACAAAGAGCCACAAATAGTATTTCATTTGTTCAAGATCACACAGCTGAAGTGCCAGAGCCTGGGTTTGCATTACAGTTATAATGGGCTCCAAAACCCATTTCCTTTCCACTAAGTCATGCCAAAGGCCCACAGTGTATTTAAATGTTGGGACCAGCAGATAATGTAATGGTTATATCGCTGGACTCCCACATAGTTGACCACGGTTCACATCCCGGACCTGGTGGCTTAAAACTCACACCAGGCGCATGTGCATGCGTGCCCAGGATCCCAGGAGGAGAATGGAGGAGAAGGGATTGTGGCATGGCCATCCCCCCTGGGGGGAGATTTCTCGATTTCTGTCTCTCTATCTCTCTGTCTCTGTGGGGAGCATACACACCATATTAGCAAAAATCTCTCAAAAAAATGTAGATAAAATTCACCCTCATGTAGATTTAATGTTTAAGGAATCTAGAAATGATGTTGTGAAGAATCTGGTTGAAAAAGAGATAATAAATAAATTAAAATCATGTTCAACAACTTATCAAGTAGTTATCTTGTTAAGGATGCTATGCTGTATTCCAAAAATGTAGACATAAAACAGTTTTCTAAACGAGTTACCACCCAGACAAATCACACACACAAATGTACCCAAAGTTGTCATATGCTAGATACATCCTCGGACAGTTACCAAAAACTTCCTCCCCATTTCCCCACTTGTTTCACTGCTAAACAGGAAGTTTATGTCTCCCGTTCCTGACCTCCCATTAATTTCTGAACCTTCTACAATATGCTTTGCCACCGAACTCAAGCCCTCCCAGAGAATCTGCTTTCTCCCTAGTAACCTCCTCATTATTAAGGACAACAGACGCATTCCAGTCTTTATTTCCTTAGACACATTTGACACTGTATACATTTACAGCTTCCGGAAAGCTATCTTAGCTAAACTCCTTCCTCTCCGAGCACTCTGCCAGTAGCCTTTCTTTATGTTTTCATCCTCCCTGTTCCTCAGAGATGTGGTATTCAGCTCAAATACCATAATAAGCACAGCTGGACAACATGACATCAACACTAATGATTCAACAACAATCAAAAAAGGAATTACAATCCAAAGAATAGTGTAGAAAGTATCACTTTATGCTATGGACTGATTGTGCCTTCTACTAAAGATACTGTTGGAATCTTACTGTCAGTACCTTGGAATATAGCCTTGTTTGGAAGCAGGGTCACTGCAGATGTAATTAATGAAGAGGAGTTTGTATAGGAGTAGGTGGGTCCTTAACTCAAATAAAACTGGTGTTCTCATATGAAAACAGCCTTGTGAAGACACAGGGAGAATGCCACGTGGAGATGGGAGCAGAGACTGAACTGGCACATCTATAATTGAAGGAATGCCAAGGATTGCTGGTCGTTGAGAGCAGCTGGAGAGAGGCAAGGAACAGATTTTTCTCCCAAGCTATCCTGGGTGGCAGGAACCAACCTTGTCAACACCTTGATTTCAGATTTCTAATCTCCAGAACTGTGAGAGAATAAATTCCTGTTGTTTTAATCCACCCAGCATTATGTTAGCAAGTAGCCCACCTAATTAAATATCCTTAAGGCACACAGACTTCCCCTTATCTCCTTTCTAACATCTGAATAGAGACAACACTATTCTTGCCACATCATGACTATATCAGATATCCTTAAAAATCAATCATTTCTGTCAGACTTTCTATTTTTTAAATAAGCTTATGTTTCTTTTGTAGTTATTTGGCTCCTTTTACTAAAACTTTTAACACATTCAGAGCTTTTATGCTCTTTACACTTAGGAGGGTTAATACTATCTGAATAATACCTGCAAGTCATATCAAAACAATTGTAAAACAGAATAAACCTGCTATAAGACTGTATAAGAGCACAGGAGGCAAGACTTTACTTGCCTTCCATCCTAACTGAATGTTGACATCTTAAGTCTATGGTGAGCAGCGTTGAGGGACTTTTACTGTGATACACAACCTCGTACCTGTAAAAGTGTGCAGAAATACCTAAGGAAAGCATTGTACATGTACAAAACGTTAACGGCTATTACTGCTAAGTAGTGGGAGTACTGGCGATTTTCATTTTTTCCTTAATTCTATTTCCTACAACTTCTATGATATTGTAGACCTTTATAGTAAAAAAAAAAAGGAAAAATAAACCCTCTACATGGTACTATGAAAGACACAAAATTTTGCAAAGGAGAGTTGATGGTAACATTTAGAGAAACATTTCTGTAAAATGGGAAGCCTTAAGAGTTTGAAGTCATTTCCTTATAAAGGACAGAAATGAGGTAACTATAAGCATTTTTAAATGGGTTTTGGTAGCTATTTGAAGATGAAAAATAAGCCAATGCCTTCTGATTCTCTTTCAAATTTCCCTCACATACATTCCTCAAAATTTATTTCAACACTCTTTTCCCTTATTTTTATCTAAATATCTCCTATTAGGAAAACAAAAAAAATCATAATGGACTAAGAGGATCAGAGATAGGGCTGGTTCCATAAATACCTGGCTGACCCATGATTTGTTTCACTGAAAAGCAGAAGGAAGTACACTTCAGATGCATGAGTCCACATGAATGGGAGTAGGCATGAGCACGTCATGTGTAAAGGACTATAAGAAGAATCCCTCTTTTTTGGGGGGAAGGGGTGATTTCTATAGGGTATGGGCATTTGCCAGAAAGAGAGAGACAGAGAGACAGAAAGCGAGAAATTACCCCCCCCCATGGGGGGATGGCCATACCGCAATCCCTTCTCCTCCATTCTCCTCTCAGGATCTTGAGCACATACGCAAATGTGCCCAGCATGGGTTTAAGCCACTGGGTCCAGGACCTGAACCATGGTCGACTACCTGGGAGTCCAGTGACATAGCCATTATGCCAACTGCTGGTCCCAAAGAATCCCTCTCTTACAAGGGTGGGCCCACATCAGGGAATAGCTGAAAAGCAAGTGATAGCTGAGACAGACTAAACATCATCAACTCCAAAATAAAGCACAGAAGTCTGTACTTTATAGTATAAGAAACTGAATCCCCTTCAAGATTTTTAAACAGGGGTATGACATTACAAAGGTGACATCAGAAGAAGATTAGTCTTACGGGAGTGTGTTAGCAGAATTAGGGAAAGGCAAGCCTATCAGACATAAGAATCCAAAGATAATAAAGAATGGAAAGGGAAAAAAAAATCAGCATTTTTAAGAGATTACTTTTTTAAATAGATTTTTGTATAGAGTACATGTGCTTGCAGGAGAGACAGAAACAGAGAGAAAGAATGCCAGATAGAAATCATCCCCTGGGGGGAAGGCCATGTCGCAATCCCTTCTCCTTCATTCTCTTCTTGGAATTTTGGGCATGCATGCACACACGCCCAGTGTGAGTTTCACACTGCTGGTCTGGAACTCGAACTATGGTCAACCAGGTAAGAGTCCAGAGTCTTAACCATTGAGGCACCTGCTGGCTCCCCAGAAGTGACATTTTGAAAGAGGGGAAATTAGTATTTCTCATTCTCTTCCACTGACTCAGTCAACAAACTTTTCCTGAGTACCCTCTACACCCAATTACTGAGTTGAATATATTAAGGAATAAGACCGACATGTCAGCCCTGGTATCTAATCTTTTCATCTCTCTTTTTCTTTTCTTTCTTCCTTTCTTTCCTTTTTCTCTTCCCCTCTTCTCCCCCTTTTTTTTTTTTTTTTTGAATACAAGGTCTCCCTACATTGTGATCATCCTGTCTCAGCCTCCCCAGTCGTAGGGACTACAAGCACACATCTGTTTATGGTTCCTTTTTCTCTTCCCTTCTTCTCCCCCTCCTTTTTTTTTTTTTTTTTTTGAATACAAGGTCTCCCTACATTGTGATCATCCTGTCTCAGCCTCCCCAGTCGTAGGGACTACAAGCACACATCTGTTTATGGCCAGCCCAACCTGGTCATAAAGTCACCATCTTCCAATCAAGGCCTCCTGAGTAGCTAGGTCTATCAGCAAATACTTCCATGTCCAGCCTCTATTTTCTTTAAATTCTTGTTTTTGTAAAAGCCTTCAATCATTTTCATAATCATCTTTAAAAGTAGTAGCATTTTATTAATTTATGTTATAGACTGCTGACAGATGGTCTGCTCTCTGTTCCCTAGCCACAGCTTCATCACAGTATCTATCACACAACATTAATACTCCCTGACTGGCTTCCTCCTTCCCCACAACAGGACTCTAAGCTTCATGGTGGCAGGGACCATACCTTACTAGAAACTTTCCCCCAGGACACTCAAGAAATTTCAAGAGAGTGCAGTGAGACAGTGAACAGATACAGATTTTATCTGGAACTATGAATAAAATACATTCCTCCTCTAGTTTCCCAGATGTAGCTGGCAGATGGCTTTAAGTTAACTCAATTATAAGTAATTTTCAAACTTTTCCACCAATTAATACAGTAAATGCGAGTACATAACGTCCCTAGTGCTCCCGCAGAGTTTGAGAATACAACCAGGAACAAGCATGTAAAAGCTTTTAAGCCACACATCACACTTACCAGGCACTACCCTGTGTCCTAGGGGCATAGCCAAGGGCCCTTCCTTCATGCTTATTTTGGGAGAAGAAAAATGAAAATCGAATAAACAAGCAAAGGTCTCTGCCATTTTTGTACAGTGTGGGAGGAGAAGGGGTACCTAGAGTTGGAACAACAGGAGACACATCATTTTATAAATAACAGAATAACAATTAGTGTCCTACGGGAAATCAACCAT